TTCAATTCATTCATGTGGGATGTGGTGTCAACCAAAAATGACAACTTTGACAGCCAGGTAGAATCTGACAGAAGTGGATCAGCTCTATCCTTTTCGGTGAGAAAATTATCTATTTCTCTTCGGAGCTTATGAAAACGAAACAGGACTTTACCGCAGGGAGAACAGAAGAACTTGGAGAGAACATGGTGATACAGATACGCGAGAAAGCTAGGAACTTCTTGTGGTATTCTCTAGTGCTGCATGAATCTACTGATCTCTCGAGTACGTCACAACTTCTCGTGTTCATTCGTGGTGTTAATTTGCACTTTCAGATCACAGAAAAGTTGGCATCCGTTTGGAGCATGCACGGAACAACAACTGGAGAAGACATTTTAATGGAAGTGCAGAAAACTTTGCAAGGCTATAACCTTCAGTGGAATCAGCTTCAATGTGTTACAGCTGATGGAGGAAAAAACATGGCTGGACTGAGGAAGGGTCTGGTTAGGCAGATACGAACTAAGTTGGAAGATCTTCAACTCCCGGGCGCTCTGTTTATACACTGCATTATACATCAGCAAGCACTCTGTGGGAAAGACTTAGATATTTCTTGCGTACTGAAACCAGTCATTTCTGCGGTGAACTTCATTCGGGGTCATGCACTTAATCACCAACAGTTCCAGGCTTTTCTTGAAGAAATTGATTCTGAATTCTGTGACTTGCCTTATCACACAGCAGTGAGGTGGCTCAGCTGCGGTAAAGTCCTGTTTCGCTTTTATAAGCTCCGAAGAGACATAGATAATTTTCTCACCGAAAAGGGCACAACTGAACTTGCTGAAAGGCTGATACTTCCAAACAAATCGGCTTTCTCAGGACACAAGTTATTTGCTGCTTCCATCATACACTCTTTGATGAAGTTGCCGTCAGTAAACGGTTTTCCTCGCTCTGCCATCTTATGCACTATTTTGTAACTTGTACGAGTGACAGATTCATTTTCAGCAAACATTCTCGTGAAGATTTCCTTTGAGATTCCAAAGTACGTTTCATGAACTCAAATTTCTCAGAACGCAACTTTCCAGAAAACTTCGAATATGTTGACAGATGTTTTGTTTCATAGTGATGCCGAAGATTGTACTCTTTCAAAACGGCAACACTTTCGTTGCATATCATGTAACTAGCTTTCTGGTTGTTTGTTTCCACAAAGAAGTACTTTTCTCCCCATTCTTCATTGAAAAGATGACACTCAGCATCTACTTTTCTTTTCTTAGTAGCCATTACGATGGGTGAAGAAAACAGGATCTGAAAATGAAAAACAATTGTTTATTTCCACATTGAATAGTCTATCAAAAAAGTTTTAGAAAGATAATAATTTTTCAAAATGTTTTTGACATGTATATAAACATGACAAACTAAATGTAAATAGCTCATGACATTAAATTACGTTATTACGCAATTGTTTTAAAAGTTTTTTCCCGATAAGTTCTTTGATTAAGCAATTTTTATAATTTGCCAATGTATTTAAAATTTAGTATGTAAGTTAATTAGAAGAGCTTTATAAAAAATAATTAAGATCATATTTAATAAAAAATATTAAGAATCTTAATAGGCAAATATAGTATTAAGAATTTGATAATAATTTAATTAAAATCTTTGTTAACTTAATTAGGTCGTTTTAGCTCATTTGTAGCACAGTGCAGTGGTGGGCTGGATGAACTGACTTCGCAGGCCGGATATGGCCCACGGGCCATAGTTTGGTGACCCCTGTCTCAATAGATGGAGAAAAAATTATGAAAAAATACTTAGAAGTTCAGTTATCTCTCAATAGGTGGAGAAAAAATTAAGAAAAAATAATTGGAAGTTTAATCATCTCTCAATAGCTGGAGAAAAAAATTAAGAAAAAATACTTGGAAGTTCAGTTATCTCTCAATAGATGGAGAAACAAATAATAAGGAAAATACTTGGAAGTTCAGTTATCTCTCAATAGATGTAGAAAAATACTTGGATGTTCAGTTATCTCTCAAAAGACGGAGATAAAATACTGGTAGTTCAGTTATCTCTCAATAGATAGAGAAAAAATACTTGGAAGTTCAGTTATCTCTCAATAGATGGAGAAAAATACTTGGAAGTTCAGTTATCTCTCAATAGATGGAGAAAAAAACTTGGAAGTTCAGTTATCTCTCAATAGATGGAGAGTGTACTGAAGTATTATTAAGAACCTTTACTTAAAACACAATAGAAATAAGTTATATCACTACCTTATATTTGCACAACAAACACGTCTTTATTCTCGTCCAATAACTATCAATTTAAATCCCTTTGTGTTCATTCCAGAATGAAAGATGCATAATTTATGTTTATTTCATAATTTTTTATGGTGGTTGCGAGATCGTTCAAATTTTTCGGACCCAAACAGAAATTGATCACTGAAGACAATATATAAAATATAAAGTTTTCTCTTAGGAAACGTTTGGTAACTATTTGGACATTATAAAAATTTCGCATATGAAAGTTCAAAATTTTCTGATGCACAAAATAATTTTTAATGTTAAGATGAAAATTACTTTGCCTGACAGATAGGCAAGATGTGAAAAACACTGCCCGCCCGATTGGTATATAAGAGCAATGTTATTATCTTCTCCTATTACTCGCGTTTTTCTGAGAAAATAGCAAAAAGGAAAACCACTACTCAGGAGAATGACTTCTACATTTCACAATAGTTTTGGTTACTGTAGCTAGATGGCAGCACATAATGTTTTTTTCTGTTAACTACGACAGTTTGAGCCTTTCACTTCACAACAATGATATCTGACAAACC